ATTTACCTCCTCCTTTTAAAATACTACATTTTTCTGCCTTTGATAATTGATTATAATGATCACAGTCGATTTCATAGTTTTAAGAATAAAAAAATACAACAGAAAACGCTGTACAATGATATAGTTAAATGAAGCAAATTTCAAATTGCCCAATATCAGGCAAGGATTGTTTTTTGTTTCTCCTTTCTTTTATAATAAATAGGAAAATTTTCTGTAATAAGAGGGGGTCATTGGAGTAGTAATGACACCTTAGAGCCAAAAATGATGATTCACTTTTTCTGAAATTTGCTTTTCAAAATATGTGCATATCAGGAATGTACTTTTCCTCTAGAGATKAATTTTCAGAATGGCAGGAAGGCAGAAAGAATTGGCTGATGGCACATACTTCATTATCTGCCCAAGACTAAAAAGCTCTTTAAAGAACCTCTGCAAATACAGTTTAACATGAACAGTCTTTGGATGTTCATTCTGTCTTCATGTGAAGCTACTGAAATATAATAACTCTTTGTGGTAATGCAGAATAGTACAGATGTAGGCATATCAAGAGACATATACCCAGCAGCTGCTTTCTAAACAACCTTCTTTTATGCAGCAGTCAAACCTGATTCAAACAAAACATAGAAAAGCACAATAAGTAAAGATTTCATTATTCACTGCATAAAAAAAAAGATTTCCCAGCAAGGACAGAGCTTTTCAGCCATGTATATACAACTACTTAATATGGAATGAAGACTTTGGCTTTAATGTATTACAGCAGATATTGAGGTAGTAGGGAGTTRGCAAAGCAGGGGCAAATTTACAAAAATATGCATAGATCCATATGACATGCCAGAACTCAGAATAACATGAGGACCACAAGACCCAGGAGAATAGTAGTGGAGCTCTATGTGCTCCAGTAAAAAGCTGGACAAAAGTATGGTTTATAGAAGTACAATTCCTAGTATTTCCCTTATATATTAATCTAACATTTCCCCCTCGCCTTAGGAGCATCTTTTGCACATCAGGTTAATGTTCCTTAAAGGAAAGACACTAATACTCCATAGATAAACAAAACGCTATAAGTCAGTCAACAAGAACAACATTCATCAAAAGCTGAAGAGTTATGGACCCTTTTCTCAGGGCAAAGAGCATCATGAGAAATTGTAACTGACCTCCTTGCATGATGAATGCTTTTTTTTTGTAGCGGTCTTCAGAGGTCACTTCAATTTATCAAAAACTAAGCATTTAGGAAGACTAAAATAGCATGTTCAGTGTAGCCCATCAAATATTGTCCTTAATACATTGGCTGCAAGGAAGCATAAATTTTGTGAARGTATTTCACAAAASGTATTTGTGAAGGTTTCAAGGAACTTTAAATGACTAGAAGTGTAAAAAAAGACTAARCCACTTAAAACCTTAAAAACAAGGAAAATAGTTCATAAAGATAGTTTCTTGCTAGTCTCCTCTACTGTATTACTCATATTCAAAATACATTAATGTTATATAATTATGATTTATGACATAAACCTGCTTTAAACTTTCCTTCAACTTTTTGTATAGATTTCTCTTTACCAGCTTAAAAGAAACAAATATTTTAGGCATTTTCCAAACTACTTACTGTCCCTTCCTCTTTTACCACTATAATGACTTCAAATTTTTCTATTTATTTTGAAGAAAATGGATATGAATCTTATCATTTAAAAGAAAATTCCACCTTACACGTGACATGACAATATACTGCCCTTTGAACATAGCTATTGTTTACTCTTTCAGAAATAGAAGATTTATTTACTATTTGACGCATTCAATAACATTCCTGTAGGAAGTTCTATCATTGGTAATGACCTTCAAGAATGTCAAATCTATATAGGAATCACTCGGTGGAGCTTCCCTACACAGTCATTTTCATGACAGCTTGTATTTCAGTACAAATAGCCAATAACCCTACTCTGAGAAGACATCTCCTAAAACACTTTCCTTTAATCACAATACTGACAGTGGTTCTTGGAAACAGAACCCCTCGGTTCATACCACAGAGTAACCATATGTGTGTAAAAAATGTGTTTTTGTCACTTTTGAAATGGTACAATATTAATGTTGCAAGCAAAAGGGCCATTTATGCACAACAACAATATATTTAAGAAGAAAGCATTTCAAAATTGCTAATGAATGGTTTTCCTTACTTTTATTGTTGTCTGATATTTATTATGCCCGCTATCGAGGTCCTATAATAGATTTTCATACAAGTTAATTATTAATCATTTGGCATACAACACTATGAATCACGGGACTAGAAAAATGAAGCTCTGTCTCCCTCATCAAGAGGAAAATCTAATTTGCCTTGACCATATCCTAAACAGTCCAGACACTACCTAGTGACTTCTCAAAGGCTTCTAGCGAGAAAGACTTCACGTATCTCTGGACAATTTGTCTATTATCTTCACTATTAACATTTCTCCTATTAAATTAAAATTTTCTTCCTCCATGACTTGGAGGCATTTTCCTCTTCAACAGTCCATTTTACAGTTGAAACTGTTACATTCTTCTCCATTTTCTCTTCTTTCCGTTAAGAAATCCCAACTTAACTATTTCTCACAGCAAGATTTTCTATATACCTATCACATTACAGATGCTCCAGGAGAGGCTCAACTTGCARCAGTGTAAGATCTCACATAGACTGAAGGAGAAAAAAAATGGATTTTTCCTGTAATACTGTAAATCTGTAACAACTGAATTTCTTGTTTAGTAGGGATAAGCTGCAGGGACCTTTCCTTCCTGATATTGTTTATCATATAGCATTTGGTAAAACTGACACTCCTGTTCTGACAATATAAGGTTACTAAGCTTAAATTAAAAAAAAAAAAAATCAAATTGTATTTACCTTTTTCAGAAGGAAAACTTAAAAGCTTAATTTACTATCTTCCTAATTCTCACACTGAAATAGAATTTTGCCAGGACAAAGTTTAACTCCTACAGGAGACTGAATCAGTCCAAACTAATAATGACAATAGGCTGGCCTATGATTCTTGACCATCTTTGAAAGGAATATAAAATTTCCAAAGAAAGAAATGTTTTCAAAATTCAGAGCATAAGTAACAGCAGTTTATACATTACTAATAATTTCTCTACTCAATCTGATCAAATGGAAAGTGATGCAWGAAAAAAATGTCCAAAAAGGAAGCTGCTGCTATTCTAAAATTTACATGTTGATGTTCTGTCATATGTTGACAACAGACTTTATTTTCGAAAAGACATGCAAACATCTCAAAATTCAACTCCGACRAAAGAATTTGCCAAGCTTCCTATTGAATTTGAGCTAACTGTTTCATAAAAGACATCCGAACCCTGAAACATCCCTGTTTGGATGTACTCAATGTAATATAGCCTCAAGTGACCCATTAAATTTTGTTCATTAGACTCACTGAAATCATCTAAAATACTTCATCCAGATAAATTTTATGTCAAGCATGATTTGTTTCGTACCCATGTGAAAAGTCCAGTCAGCAGAAGTTCAGACAGGATTTAATAGGAAGAGCAAAGTATATTAATAATACCTAGCAATAAAACCAATAAAGCTTTCAGCAAGTAAATTTTTTAACCTAAGAAAGAGATTCCATAGGCACCAGTGGGAATACCAAGATATTCTTTATTTCAACTGTATTCACATTCATCCAACAGACCTTCAGTAAGATGTCAGGGAATGTCCTCTTTTACAGCAAAAAAAAAAAAAAACACCCTCAGAACAAAGTTATTGTTGCTATTTCCCTCCTCCACTAGGTAAAACCAAAAAAAAAAAAAAAAAATAGGNCACACCCTCAGAACAAAGTTATTGTTGCTATTTCCCTCCTCCACTAGGTAAAACCAAAAAAAAAAAAAAAAAAGAAAAAGAAACACACAAGGGCTGGTGGTTGGTATATTCGCACAAGATGAAAGAGATGGAGGTGGCAGCTCTCTACTTTCAGCATCCTTACAAGAAGCTTCACCCGCCTTGTGATAATAGCCTTAATTTTCTTCCTACCGCCGTATTAACACTACCATCAAAGTCAAGGAAAGGATTTGTGATCAGATCTTGAACTCATGTTTTGCAAAGGCAAGCAATAAGGCTTTATATTTTTACCTATTATCAAAGGTAAACTGTAGAAAAAGTGGCTGAACTTATGAAACCAAGGGAAATGAGGAATTTTCACCTTCTTGGGCATGCAGAGGACTCCCTGGTGAAACACAAGGAATCAGTATAGCTTGAAAGTTCTCTTATCTCTTGTCCTCAGTCGTTGTAGCAAAAGGACTGACAGCTTTAATAATTTTGGACAATGCTTATCTTTTCCTACATGTTTTTCTTACAATCTGCTTCCAGAATAAATAATTTGCAAAACTCTGGGAAATCCTTATGAACAATCTCATGAGAGTATTTGTGTGCATTTCACTGAGCAGCCTGGCCCTCAGAGCAACTCTGCAGCTGCCAGGGCTGAAGGACTCTGCCCGCGGATGGTTCAGATTCCAGTGACTTAAAATGCCAGATTTTGGTGGAAAATCTCACAGCAGTACAAATAGCTAGGGTTAGAAGCCATTCTTGGCAAGATGCTATAAAAACTGCATTAATTACTGAAACTGTCCACCCTTCTTCCTTCCCTCCARAAAATCCCTACTGGATCAGAAAAATTCTATTCAGGAAGTTTACCAACAAAACTAATACATTTCTATGAAGAGTTTCCATTTAGAAAAACATTAATTTTCTTGATAAAATTTTCAGCCAACTCTGTAACTGCTACATATACCTGTGCTTGTTTAAATGAATTGTTCTAACACTCAGTAACATTATTCTTCAAACTGCAACTCATGCAGCATGTATTGTAGGAAGAAGTACATAATAAATGCACTTCATCTCAGTGCAACAAGAGTGCTTGAGAGAGATAAAGGAAATCTGAGACATGCACATTCTTATCAAATTCRTCCAATTTCCATATTTTATATATGCTTTGTCACTGACAATGCTGCAAATCAAAAAGATATAAGTGAACACCTGTGAATTTCTTCTTCTAAAACTTAATTCAAAAAAGTGAGTGCAGTGTCTAGCGAAAATAAGCTCCTTATTTTTTGAGAGGAGGCTGACAGTTTAATAGACAGATTTTTACTCTGATTTTGAAACYTCCAAATTCCATAGTCTTCAAAGGAATACATGTAAAGCAGAGCTTAGACAGATCGCTGTTGAGATGTAAAAAAGTGTTACTTGTCTTGATTGATGCCGAGACACATGATCTTTTTTCCCTCTGTGTGCACTTTGGAAAGGAACTATTTATGTTCTCATTACAATTCATACTTCAGGTCTTGTGAAAACTTTTCTGTGAGTCTTCGTATCAGTCCTCTAAAGTCTACATAGTCTGAAGTTCTTTAGTCAATAAGTGACTGCAGAGTGATTAGGAAGTGAAAACACTTCTTTCATTAAAAAAATCCTCCTAAAAGATATAATTAGATACAAATTAATATATAAAAATAATTTTAAAATTTAATATATTCCATCTATTAGATCATTGTGTTCTGAAAGAATATTCTAAATCAAACAAAAATTACACCATATAACTGAATACCCACGTAACTACATTAATGTACTACCTACATTTAAACTTTTGTGAGAGAACATACGCATGGCCATCAGAAAGTGACTTTACATGCAGAAAGATGTGCTGCTTTGTTTTTGGTTTAGCTCCATAGGCACCACCCTTCCCAGGGCACCTGGAATARCTTGTGAGAAATCCTGACTCACACTCCTGATTGGATCCTTTAAAATTCATCAAACCATGTGCAAAGACAAGTTAATGAGATCTCATAATTGACTCCCAACAATATATGTTCAAGCAGATTACACTCATTAGTAATCATACATATAGCCTCATAAATCTATTTTAGGAGAGTATGACATTTCTTTCCTTGAGTAGCTTCTATTCTGAGCTCACTTGCTGACATTCCCCTACTCTAGATTACAAGTCCAAGTTCAAAGGAACTGTATTTAAGGATATTGGCCCTTGAATGCTGTTTCCATGCCTATTGTTYTACAACAGATTCCCACCAAAGAATAATATAGAGATATATAAAAATAAATTTTAAAAACTCTTTTCTAACAGCATACGTATCAAGGTTGTTATTGGAAATGCCACAGACCAAAACACAAGTGTGAAAAAGCAAAACACATTTCAGAAATATCACAATAACTTTAAACCAATGAAACATGGTGAAACCGATGAATATTTCTTAAGGAGAAAATAAAATTCTAAGTACTTTTTACAAATTACCTACTTGGAACCTGCTCTGTGACAGAGATCTTCTGTTGCARAGCCTTCCACAGGCTGACTTTTTACAGCCAGGTTACAGAACACAAGGAACAGAAAAGAAAATGCTCATGAATCTTTAACTACAGTAACTTGAAAAGTGAGTCTATAATTAGTTCTGCCACTCACAATACATTTTCAATATCCTTCTATAGAAAAAAAATCAATTGGTACTCAGTCCAATAATAACAACAACAAAAAAATCATCTCTGCTAATGTCATACAGAATTGGCATGCACTAAAATGCTCATAAGAATATGTGACTTGACTTGGACTTCATTTTAGCTGCTTTTACCAGGAAATTTTATCCTGTAGTGCTACAACACAGCATTGCAAAAAAATAAAATATACAAATTAAGATAAGAATTTAATAGTACAATATTTAAAATATGTATGAGTAATTTTCATAAGCATTATTAATGTTAATAGTACAATTTATGTCCTCACCAGGAATAGAGACTTTCTTATGATAAATGCTTCTATTAGAATTCAGTAATAAATTAATTTTTAATAAGGGAATGATCTTGTTAGCTTTAAAGGCAAWTTCCCTTTCTTTCTACATTCAAAATCTATGCAAAATCCTGAAAGCAGTTAATATTTTTTATGCATACTAACTGGAGATTATTTTGCATGCATTCTCAAGTTTGTATTTTCAGCTATTTCTCTGTTTGGTATTTTGACAAGCACAAATACTATTAACATACAGCAAGGTTACAAAGATGGCAATTCATTCTAAAAATTACAACAATCTCATTCTAATATTTAAAGAATGTAACCTTTCTGTCTATCCTGATTTACCCATATTTGGTTAAACTGTAATAGGGTAACATTCTGTGGGATAAAAGACAGAAAACCTCCAGCACTATTTAATGGTGCAAATAAACTTGAATTTTGTGAAATAAATTGCTTTAGAGAAGCATTTCAGCTGAGGATTAAACCTAAGTTCTAACATRACATCAAAAATAAAAATTATATAATACTAAACACCATATCAATTTATAGCATATGAATATATTTTACTTAGGATGCAAAAATAATCAGGAGACTCTTACTGGAAAGAAGCAAGGAATAACACATGACTTGGCAGATTTTAAAGAATATATCTAACAAGGAAAGTCTTTGTTAAATATTTGGATAATATTTACTCCAGCCTCAATGGCCAGAAAAGTAGACCTCCATTAATGAAATCTCRTTTGTTGTTTATAGGATATTTAAACAGTACCATATCAAAAACAATCCAGAAAAAGAGTCAAGCATTTCAGACACATGTGCAATTTCTTTTTTCCTATTATTTGAAAAAGAGGGAGGAAGTGAGGTCAGAGAAAGTAACAAACAGGTTTAAAGCATTTTTGCAAAGGCAATCTTCAGGCTTTACTTATAACATAGTAAAATCACTATAAGAGATCAAGATTTTACAGGTATGCAGGTACTAATTGTATTAGCTTCACAGAAGAACTGCTAAAATTCAATAGTAGTTTACAGAGATATTATTAAAYAGCTTTCAAAAAAGAGAGAAAAAGGAAAACTGTATAATATATAAACTATGTTGTATAATATATAAAATATAAGRAGAAAGATTCAGACTTTTAAAACTGGCAGCTTCATCCCATTAATGTACAATCATAGAACTTCTGTACATGCATAATTTACCTAAGTCTCAAGTAAAGAAAACATTGTAAATTGAATTGACATTTATGGAGTTGGAATATGTCTAGTTTCTATTTTGAGGAGTTTTTACTTTTTAAGATTCACTGTAATACTGAAAAATACACAGGCTGTATTTCACTGAGTATACACAGTTCTCATTTTGAATAAATAAAAATCAAAACAAGAGATAAAGTAATTCCTGACACAAACTTTGTTTTATAAACTTTCTAAGTTAAATCTTAGGTAAAACTGCAGCACGTGGAATATATATCCATCTATATGGTATCTTCAGTAACCCAAAGCAGAAGGTAAACGTCRGCTGCAAAACAAATGTGTTTTCTTTTGAAGATGCACACAGATGGCCCCACTAAAGAGCTTTTCTATGAAAGATTGTACCTTCTCTAAAAATCTGATATTGCTCATTTGTAAGTCTTCTTTACATAMAGTACTTATTTTTCTCGATAAAGAAACATGCTGAATTAGTGTTTATTAAAGGGAAAACTGATTAGTTTAAGCTATTTTATTATAATAAAGAGAAACTGATTTTTTATTGCATTTTATCTTAGTTATATGTTATTTTCTGACCTCTACATTTTTCTAATCAGTTCTTTGGTGACAATTTTGAACTCTAGCTTGACAGTTAATCCAGCGAGTTACATGACATTTCATTGCCTTTAGCCTTGTATTTCATATTAATCAGCTTTTCATACTGGAACRTTATGAGAATATCTTTAGAGAAGTATAAAATTAGTTAACAATGTTACTTATGGACTCTTTGCATTGTAGGACTGTTAAACATTTAAATATTGAGATGCTGCACTGGCACAATGAGTGATTTAACTGATAGGCTCAAAGGCTCAAAATATCACTGCTGTTCCTGCAGTAATATGAAGTATCATAAAGTAATTTTGCTGTTGTGTTTCTCCTCTTTTTAATAAATTAATCTAATAGATGAATTGCTTTTAAATATCTAATAGATTAAATGCTTTTAAAATGCATTTAAAGATACATTTTAAGATTGCATAAATATTATTTCTTTTAAATACTATCTCCTTTGATTTAAAGTGCTGTAAAAGAATTGTGGTTTGGCTTGTCATGAAAAAATATTTCTTCGGTGCTTGCAGAAAAATGTTTAAGCCAGCACAAATGGCATATGGACAACAATTCCAGCAGAAGAGGTATATATTATTTTCTTYTCCTTCTGAGAAAGCAAGGGAATCCTGATTAGAAAATTGGAAAGAGAAAAAGAAAAAAGAAGAAAATTTCCAAAACACCTGGGTCAGACTGAACTCTAAGGAGCTAGGAGTTACCATGATCAGGGAGCTCAAGCCCTGCATTGCAAGTTGTGACACCTGCTTTTCTCCTCTGTTTACTTGTGACAAGTATCCATTCTTTGTGATGAGCATTCATTCTCTCAGGTTATTTTAATCCAAGGTCATTTCTCTCCAGTGTGTCTCCTTTTGATGAAAATCTTTAACTTTCTAATTCAGGCTCATGTCTTCCAAGACTCCTTTTCTAGACAGCACTGCCTGCCTTCCTTGTAAATCAATGATACCCTAATTTCCCAAACAAGCTCTCTCCTCCTTGCTTTCCTTAGCTGTCTGACCTTACTGTAGCCATCCATCTGTGCTAAATCTCCACTCTTGCACCATTACTGCTCACCTGCTAAATTAATTCCTGCCATCCTATATCCATGGTATTTGAATTTAATAATGTGAAACATTTTATAAGTCCCTTTTGCATTAATGTAAATGGTTTTAAATTGCCAAGCTAAATCACAGGAGAGATTGGATAAATAGAGCTTTTAAGAYGAGGAAAAAGCTGAAGAGGAGGAAGAAAAACTGTTTGAGAGGAAGGAAGCCTATGATGGTCATTTCATATTAAATACAGTCTTCAGAAAATGGAACTGGGGGTAAATGTGAAAATATTGAAATTGTCAGTTTGGTGCAGAGTAACAGCAAACACAGCAAGAAAAAAGGCACTAGTTCATATTAAACTAAGGAAGAAAAAAAATGCAATGCAATATAGCAGTATTTTGCTAGGTACTCTTTATATACACCATTTGAAGGACCTAGGAAAAGATGACTCCATGGGTTATCACCCATAGTATTACGGAAGGCACCTTTTACATACCATTTAAAACATCTAGGAAAATATTAGTCAATGTATCAAAGAAAGACATTGACTTACGGGACTATAAAATGGGAAAATGAYTGAAATATTTAACTTACTTCACAAAGAAAAGCTATTCTTACTAGGAGGGATATGGGGAGGCATTAGGCATGTTCAAGTTAGCTGCAGAAAATTATGCAGAACTACTGAAAGTATGCTTAAGTCAATTTTACAAGCATTTTTACATGAGTTTCTTATCAGCAATGTTTTACATACAACTTTTCAATCAATATGCATTGCTCAACTGAGGTCCTAATTTTGATAACACATACTTTATCAACAATTAATTCAACTAAACACAATCACACACCCCAAAATATGCATGCATGCGTATACAGAAGCAGAGGATAAAACATTCAGTATTCACTATAGTCCACGTATTGATAACTTTAACAGCCTGATTAATAAATATCAGTTTTTWAAAAAAATATGCCAACTCTTCCCGAGAAAACAAATATGTTGGAATTGTAACATAACTATTACAATATCACACTTTTTCCCAGATTTGGAATATCTGTATAATAGAATATGYATAATGTTTTATCATCATAGAAATAATACATAGAAATAATACATAATGCAAGACCATTCTATACAGCAAACAATTTCAGTGTCTTTGGACAAAAATACTCAACTTTTTTCAGAACAATTTTGCACTCCTCCCATTCATATTTTTAGCTCAACATTATCCCCACTGTAACAGGGTCCTTGGGTGTGCAACTTATGCCAATTTGACAGGAAGTTAACAGTGGATAGCAGCCCATCAATGGATGAAAGAGGTCTACAAGAGACACATGCAATATTGTGCTGTCAATAGAAGGAGAAGGGGAAAACGCATTTGAAGTTACAAAAAATGTACTGAATAGAACATGCAATGACAACGTTGGTTCTGGCTCCAGTACKCTTTGAGTACACACATAAAATGCACAAATTAAAAACATACAGAAAGAGATTATCATAAATGGAAAAATGTATAATATAACATGAAAGAATTGATTATGTGTTTATAAAGGGGAAACCGTTGTCAAGTTTACTTGAACTCAAGCTGCCAAACGGCAGTACATGCTGCCTGCTGTTTGTTCCCAACAGCATGCTGTCATTTTTGTTACTTGTCATCTTAACTGATTAATGGAAATTAGAGTGACAAACCCTGAATCTAATCCTCACTTAAAGGTGACAGA